GCCTGGAGCCTGCTTTGGATTCTGTGTCTCCCTCTCTCTCTGCCCCTCCTCTGCTTGCACTCTGTCTCTGTCTCTCAAAAATTAATAAACGTTTAAAAAATTAAAAAAAAGAAAAGAGGAAACAAGCTTTCTTTCACACTGTGGGTCCCAGCCAACTCCTTGGCCTGGCTACAGGCCCACCCCCAAATCTGACCACCGCCCACCATGCCTGCGTCCCTTACCGCTAACCTCACTGCTCAGCCCACAGGCACCTGTGTCGCCCCCTCCGGTCCAGCCAGGCTCTCCTGACCTGCTGCCTAAATCTGCTGAGCACCCCCACCTCCCCCCGGAGCCGCGGCGCACACAGCTCCCCCTCCCTGAGGGGCCTTTTCCTTCTTCACTCTCAGCAAACACCTGGAAACCCCATGACAACACGCCCCCCCCCCCAGAAGCCTCCCCGACTCCGCCAGGCAGAGGGGGCACTCTCTTCGGGCTCTTCTGTTCTCAATCCTGTTGGAGAGAGTCTCTGTGCTGAGTTATCACTGTTGTGTCTGTCTCAGTACCACCCCCCTGCCCCTCCCTCCCACTCCCAGCATGGCTGGACGTCAGGGGAGAGCCTGCATTCATCAAATGCCTCCCATTTGCCAAGCGCTGAGCTCCATTCTTCCCATTTTCTCCTCACAATGACCTCCAAGATGTGGGTACTACCAGCCTCATTTTAAAGACGGACAAACTAAGGCGCAGAGAGGTCAAGGAACTTGTCTAAGGTCACACAGCTCATGAATGGACCCGGGGCAAGTCGCTCCAACTTTATGTTCCTCCCCTTGCACCACAGCGCACGTGGGGTAGGGAGCGGGCAGATGGATGGATGGACGGAAAGACGGACGGACAGATGGACAGACGACGAGTAAGTAAAGCAGAGGACCTCACTATGTGATCCACTTAGACTCAGAGCACTCATCACTTCCTGCAGCTGCAGTATCAGGCCCGTGACGGCATCTCCTGACTCGCAGCACAGGCAGCAGCCACGCCCGGCGGGAAAGGACCCTGAGCCCGGCAAGTGCTGGTGAGAAGCCCTTCTCCCGCCCGACCTCCCTGGGGCCGTGCCGTGGATTTCGGGTTTATTTCTCTGCCTTGCCTGCTGCTGGCAATGCCCCTCTTCCCACCTCCAGCTCGGTCTGGAGGCCCTAAGGCATATGCTCGTCTTGGAAGAAAAGCAGCATTTTGTCTCAAGTGCAAAAATCGAAAACCGTAACATGGCAGCCCACATCATATAGGAACAAGGGGTTACCAGGGATGGAGGGGCGCTCCCAGAAACCTCCCACCCTCCGGAAGCTGGGCTGGGCACCTCCAGCCACGCCCTCACTGGCTCCTCGCCGAATCCCACGTCAGGTCGCACTCCCTTCCAGGCTGCCCTAGGGGTCCCGGGACTCCCGTCCAGCTGGGGTCGCAAAGCTGAGGCTCTGCAGGCCCTCCCGGGGCGTCCAGACAAGCCGCACCAGGCTGCCCACCCTCCCTTCCAGAAGAGGGGCTGGGGTCCTGGGCCCCACCCCTCCCCACCTGCTCTGCCCACACGGAGGCGGCCACCTGCTACGGACTCCACTGGTGAAGCCGCAGCCTCCGCCACTGCGCCCCTCGGCCGAAGCCAGCAAGGTGCAGCTTCCGGACACGCCCGCCCGGCTGCCCAAACGCCGGCTCCCATCATGGGACGGACCAGCAGCCCGAAGCCCCACATCGGATGGCCTGTGCTTGTCCCGCCAGGAGGGGGACCCTCCACGGCATATCCGTGCCCCGTCTGCCCCGTAAGAAATGGGTCCTTCAGGCAGGAGAGTGACTGTACTGACAGGTGGTTATGTAAATAAGGAACGAGCAGGATCAGACCTGAGTCCCCTCGGCGAAGCCCAGCCCAGCCCAGCAACCCGACATGCTTAAAACAGAGAGGACTGGGGCGCCCAGGTGGCTTAGTCGGTTAAGCGTCTGACTTTCACTTAGGTCATGATCTCGCGGTTTGTGGGTTCAAGCCCCGCGTCGGGCTCTGTGCTGACTGCCAGCTCAGAGCCTGGAGCCTATTTCGGAGTCTGTATCTCCCTCTCTCTCTGACCCTCCCCTGCTCACGCTGTCTCTCTCTCCTAGAAATAAATAAAACATTAAAAAAAACAAAAACAAAACAGAGAGGACAGTCCCAAGCCCGCTACGGGATTACGCACTGGGCTGCGAGCGGGCAGATGTGCTGGATCCAAGCGTGCGGGTGCAGAGCATGTTGCAAGGGACTCATGTCTCTAACCTGGAGGGGAAGAGGCTGCCACCGACGGTGGGGGGAGGGAGGCATGCAGCCCATCTCCCGCCAGGAAAATCTCTCAGGGCTGGGAGAAGTGTGGAGCAATCTGGGGCTGCCCAGTGCAGGCAGGGCCCTGGGTGGGGGGGGAGGGTGCATCTCACCAGAAACCCGGTGAGTCAAGGCCACCTGCCTGTAACCCCAGTCCTAGACCACAATTCGGGGCGGCATTTCTCAGGGATGTCGCACCCTGGATCTCCCGCATCAGCACTGAACCACTTCCTACTTCTAAGAAGCTGCTTCTCTAGCTCATTTCTTCCAGGTCTTTCCAGGCAGCCCCTTGGCCAGGCTTCCAAGTTACCAATTCGTGCGGGACGGCTGTCCTCAGCCAGCTGGCCAGCAGGTCAGTCAGTTCCAAACAAGGGTGCTATTTGCTAGGTTCACACCCCCTGGCCCAGGTGCCGACACACCAGGCTCTTTGCCACAAGCCTCCGGAGGCTCCAAAACCCCGTGGTCAGCTGCTGCTGCCTTGGCATCAGTGAGGGCTTTGGACTTGCATTGCTAGACATTCTTTAGCATGAGTCTCCGCCCGGCTGCAGCCTCCTAGAGCTCCATTCACCACGACACGGTGCTCTCTAGATCGCTCTCGTGGGTCGGGGGTCTGCTGAGTGTGGAGGCTGCAGAGGGCGGGGCTGGAGGCCAAGGGAAGGCCAGAAGCCCGGCCACCGCAGTGGACAGTGTCTTCCCCCCACCCCCGCCCCCGGACGAGCCCTTAGCTTCAGGCGGGGTTGCACATGTAGCGCTCTCTCCTCCCCAAGGCCTCTCTCAAAGTCACATCTGTTCTCCCAAAGGCTTGTGCCCTAACGATTACCACCCGGGATGGGGGAAGGGAGGGGGTGTGAAAACTCCCGGAGGAAAGCCATTTGCGCTGGAAATGTGGGGCTGTGTCATCATTTCCACAGCAGCCACTAGAAGCGGGACGAGGCAGCAGGAAGTCACCCAGCACGCCTGCAGGAAGGGAACATCTGTCGGTTCGGTAATAAGATGTGCCCCGGACCTTCTTTGTTAAGACAGCGGGCCTCCCTGACCCTTGGCTCCCCTCCAAGCCCAAAGACGGGACGACAAAACCACAGGGGTGGGGGGCGCGGCTGTACCACGCCTGAGCTCGGAGAAAACACAAAGAAGGCGTGCCGGCTCCAGCCGGAGAGGCCAGGCTGCAAAGGGGAACAGATGAAGGACGGATCTCCGAACCGTGAGAGCAACGAGGACCGCAGAGTCCCCGGCCCAGGCCCGGGAAGCAACAACTTCCACCGCAGCAAAATGAAATTTTCATCGGTGCGTTTTTCAAACGTAGCTTGAGAACCTCCGGGGACCCGCGCCAGAGGGGAAAAGACAAGTTTTATTTGGATCCCTGGATCTAGGCCACAGCCCCGTGGCTCAAAGCAGCCAAGGAGAGAGAGAGGTTTTAGCGACAGTCTGCAGGTGCAGCGGGTGGTGTTCTTAAGGCAACGTAACCACTGCTGCGCCTGGTCTCGTTCTGGCCCTGGGCTCCGGTCAGGACACAGAGCCTCAGGACGAGGGGCTGAGGTCAGCACAGAAATGAGTCTCGCCCTGCCAGGCAGCTAGAGAGAAATCTCTTAAAAATGCAAATTTGGGGCGCCTGGGTGGCTCAGTCAGTTTGAGTGTCCGATTTCAGCTCAGGTCACGATCTCACCATTCATGAGTTTGGGCCCGCGTCCAGCTTGCTGCTGTCAGCACCGAGCCCACTTCAAATCCTCTGTCTCCCTCTCTCTCTCTCTCTCTCTCTGCCCCTCCCCCACTCACACTCTATCACTCAAAAGTAAATAAACATTAAAAAAATAAAAATAAAAACACAAATCTGATTGTATCTCTATCTGCCCTCAACATAAAGCCCTGGGAGCCCATGGCCCAGTGGCCAAAATGCTAAGACAATTTGGGCCAAAAAAATGAGGAAAGTAGGGGTGCCTGGGTGGCTCAGTCAGTTAAGCGTCAGACTTCGGCTCAAGTCATGATCTCACGGCTCGTGGGTTCGAGCCCTCCATAGGGCTCTGTGCTGACAGCTCAGAGCCTGGAGCCTGCTTCTGATTCTGTATCTCCCTCTCTCTCTGACCCTTCCCTGCTCACGCTGCCTCTCTGTTTCTCTCTCACAGAAATAAATAAAACATTAAAAAATTTTTAAAAAATGAGTAAAGTATTATTTTATTATAACCCGAAGTTTAAAATAGAAAACCATGAGTCCATATTGATAGAAGTAAGTGAGTGAATAAATCAATAAATGGGAACTGAGGGCCCCCACGGGAGAGGGACTCTGCCAGCAGATGGCCTTCAGACTTGAGCTACAGCCTCAGCTCTTCCGGACCTCCAGCCTGCCGGCCTCCCCTGAAGAATTTAAACTTGCCAGTCCCAGACTCACATGAGCCCAGTCCTTAACATAAATTTCTCGGTCTGTCTGTATATGTACATCCCATGGGGCCTGCGTCCCCAGAGAGCGCTGATAATACACTCGCTCCCACAGGGCATCCCCACGGTCACACAGACACCTGCCTGCAAGGTTAAACTTGAAATCAGCTGCAGCCCAAATGACTGTTCATGACATCCCAGAACCAAACTGTCAACACCTTGCTGATGCCATCCCCGGTGCAGCTCAGTCCAAAGCCTGTGGAGGCAGAGACCACCAGGGCCCCCTCCTCTCCAGCAACCGTGGAGGGCAAGCTTTGTACGATACCTGCTCAAGTCCTTGGCCGTAGTCGGGCAGGAGAGACCGGAAGCTTCTGCTCTGTCAGCAGCTGGGGCAGAAGGCACATGTCCTGAGGCTCGGGGAGCGAGATCTGCACGGGCAGCAGCTGGGGAGGGGCTGGGGGCACAAAGGGAGAATAGTTCCCCCGTGGAACTTGGCTCTTTAATGGTGCATTCATCAGGCCCCCTCGCCCCACCCAGTCCCCCCACACACATGGAATGGGCTGTGTAAAGACCCAGCACGTGGCCTCCTTCAATTCCCGGCCCAGGTCCCTGGGGCCTTTGCTAAGACACAGCGGAGGCCCCCTCCGCTGCAGGCCCCTGGCCACGCTCGGATGCCACGTGTGTTAGCTTCCTGCATCTCTTTGAGGGAGGCAGTGCGGGTGCTCAGGACACTCTGCGAGTTGTCTTGTGTAATTCTTGTTTTCAGGAGGGGACTTTTGTATGATCATTGCCAACTGTATTTTATAGGCAATGAACTCTGTGAATGGAGAGCTACAGTACAGCTTTGCAAACTCCCTGGGATACACCCCTAAAACCTGAGGCTGAGAAAAGCCAAGGCCAAAAGGCTGACAGGTAACCAAGGACCCTGCACCAGGGTCCGGTGGGGACCCCTTGAGAGGTGGAGGGTGTGGGGGGCGGCACTCAGAGAGCTACAGCAGAGCAACATGCCACATTCAGTGGGTGAGTGCCCCCTGCTGGACATCCAGGGAAATACCCGGAGACAGGGCCCCTGACCACCACCTGCAAACACACTCTCCAGCAAAGAGCTCAAAACAGGTTTGATTTTCAACTTTGGCAAAAAGCAAGGCGCGCGGTTCCATCTACAGATGAAAGCCTGGGCACGGTTTTCAGGGTGGGCTGGCCCTCCCGGCCTCTCCCCAGCTGTCCACTCTGCTGCCCACAGGGAAGCTCGCAGAGCCCAAGGCGGCCCAGCTAGAATTTTGTGACTCAGCAGAGAGAGCCTGAAACCAGGCCCGAGGCTGAAGCCAGGGTCGGAGGTTTCTGGGCCTCTGGGACAGGACTCATTTCTCCCCTCTGGGTGTGAACCCCGGCAGGAAGCCCCCAGACGGCAGACAGGCAGGACGCCTGGGTTTCAGGGTCAAGGATGTTCTGCTCCCGTCCACCCATCTCCCACAGCTCCACCTACGTGGTTGGCTTCCCGGTCTGGAGGACAGCGGCCGGCGGTGCCCTCGCACTCAACGCGCTGGAAGAATCCGTACTCTCGTCCCCACTCCCTGTCTCTGCTTAGCAAGCCCTGCAGGCCCCCGCCTCCACCTCAACCCCCGCCCTGGCCCTCGCCTGCTCTGCTCCCGCCAGGCCGGCCCCCCTCCTGGGCTGCTGCCACTCTCCAGGCCAGCAATCCCTCGGCCTCCGCGCCTCGGCTTGGGCATTACCGATCAACAGTCACAGAAACAGCAGAAGCTCAGCCCTACTGGGAGCCCGGTCCGGGGTTCCCGGTCCTGTGCGCCCCGCCCCGGGGACCTTATGGTCGGTGGCCGGTCCGGCACGCGCAGTGCCAGGTACCTAGTCCTGTGCCAAGGATTTTACACATATGAGCTCAAATAACCCTCACAACAGCCCTCTGTGGCAAATGTCACCATTTGCCTGTGATGCCTTCTTTACCAAACCCAGCAGAAACGAGGAGAAAAACAGAGGCCAGAGCGCAACAACCATGGGCGAGCCCGGAGCAAGGCCAATGCACACGTGGACAAAAATTACAGCCCGCGCTTGGACGGAACACGCAAAAGTGCCAAGTGGGCTTATAGATGGAGCGACACCTCGCCTGTTAAACTATTACTTAGAACAACTGCACGGTGGCTGAAAGAATGTATTTTTGTAAAGAAATGACTCAAAATGCATAATGCAAACTACTGGGGCTTTTAAGCTCCTTGGGGAGCCACCGTCACACGTTGGAAGGCTCCACGTGTTCCTATTCCTCGGCGCGAACAGGCCGCTGACAAATCCCCACTACTTACTAGTCCACGATTTCAGTTCCTAAAGGAGCGACAGCAACCGCGCCCCATCCTCGGCAAGCCCCAGGAGGATCTGATTTGATTTAATGCGAGCTGGAGGGAGGCGGTATAGACGGTCTTCTGCGGCTTCCAGAAAATACTACCAAAGGTCAGCGGAAGATTTCCGTCTTTGAAAACCCTGGCGAAGGGCATGGGAGACACTGCCTGGGATCTGTGGCCTCAGAGCAAAGCCAAATCCACGGGGCGAAGCACAGTGACAGTCACACTCCGCTGAGGAGCGTGCCCATGGCTGACAGGTCCTCCCCTGCCCTGGGAACACTGGGGTCCCCTCGGCTCCAGCCTGGAGGCCACGGCGCCTGCGTCCTTCACCCTTCCTCTTGCCAGTCCCACCACCAGGGCCACACCCTTCCTGCACCAGGCTCTCTGAGCTAAAGGTACCAGACAAATGAATCAACTGCTCCCGTAAGAACAGAGTCCCCCCTCCCTCCCGGCCTCCAGCCGGCTGCTGGCACATCGCCAGGGGCCGGGGGGGTGGGGGGGGGTCAGGCCCCAACAGGGAAACGCTCGGTGACTCAGACCAGCACCAGAAGCTGGGCTTGCCCTCACCTCTCCATCACCCTTCCTGCTGAGTCACCTCCTTCTCCTTCCGGAACCTCCTCTCTGTCCTCGCCACCCCCGTTGGTGACGACAGCTACGACCTCTCTGAGCAGGGGTCCTGTACGTCCCGCTCTGTCCCCTCACACCGATTTGTCCTCTCCCTCTCTCTGATGGTCCCCACCAAGCTGGCCCCCTGAGGCTCTGGGCTGCTTCTGTGCCTTGGCTCAAGCAGACCATGCCCCTGAATGCCTACATCTCTTGCCCCCTCCCAGCTCACCCCATAATCATCCTGAGGTGACACCAAACTACCCCTTCCCCAGGTGGGGGTAACGGGCCACCCCGCACGGCCAGGCTGGGCCGGACCCCGATTTTGGCTAAGGTGTCCTGCTCCCCTACTAAAGTCTCGGCCACTGGGGCCTCTCCGGCCCTCAGCACAGAGCCTGGCATGTGAAAAGTGCTCAACACAGGACAGCTCCTTCCCTGCGTCCCCAACACATAGGCCAGTGACAGCGGGGACAACTGTGCCATCTTGGAATCCCAGTCTGAGGCAGGACCAGTAACCTGATTCGAGGGCAAAACGGAAAATGAAAATGCAGAGCCCCGCGTGCCAGAAGGATGGAGAATCTCAGGACGGACACAGCACAGCACTGAAATAAGCACAGGGCCCTGGGTGACTGCCTGGGTGGCACGCCACAGGGCCAGCCCTGGTTCCCGACCCCAAGCAGGAGTTTACACGGGGCCCCTGCATCGCCCACCCCACCCCCAGGCCTGGGCCGCTGGGGGACAGTGTTGCTAGAGATGGTGGGGACAGTTCAGCCCCTCTGTGCCAGCTCCTGTCTCTGCCCCCGCCTCCCTGACCAGCAAGGGGTCGTCCTTAGACATTGCTCTCAGGGAGCCGGGCCCTTGGCGATGGCCAGCACCTGCCAGCCCCCAGCGGGAGCTCCTGGACGGCCACCAAGACAGCACAGAGGAGGCCAGGACTCGGAGATGCGGGCCTCACACTTCATTCCTTCGAGGTGCTTGCTTTCTCCTGCCTTGATTTCTTCTCCTGTGAAATGGGCCGGGGGTAGGGCATCTCAAGGCCCTTTCACTAAAACTCTGAGATCCCTTTTCCCATGTCAGGAATTAATTAGTGTTTTCCAAGCCTTAGCGAAATAACAAAGAACCTGAATTCAAATTCACGGTGTGTTTATATTTTTGGGAGATGAAGGAAACGCTGATGTAATTTAAGCCTTTTTTGTTAAAGAGGGGAGTTAACAGAAAGAGGGCACATAAGCCACCAGACTTCCTGCCAGCAGACAGACAGGACTCTTGATCACGGCACTCCTTCCTGCTAGGTAGAGGGGGACGAGACCTTAGAATCCTTCCTAGTGCTGATCCCTAAGGGGTCATGGCTAATGGTCAGAGTTCACTGCCTCCGACTCAGTACCTCCCCGAGGTCCCCACAGACAACAACTGGTCCCACTAACCATTTGGATGCAGTTTCCACCCACGCAAGACCTGAGACGCATGGACCATGTCCATTCGGGGCTCGCATTCCGCCGGACCATCCAGTGAGTCCAGCCCCCGTGAGATGCTGTCAGTAACCGTTACGTTTCCATTGCCTGTTCAGGGCTCTTGAGAACTTCCTGGCAGATCCCCACTGACCTGATAGTGAACTGCATTTCAGAGGCTGGCCACAGCTGCCACGTTAAGCCCCTGTCCGAAGACAGACACTGGAGTGACCTGGCTGTCACGGAGGGTGACAATATCCCAGGCAGAACACACCACGTCCTGTCGGGCCAGATGGGCGACAGCATCTTATCTCCCATTTCACATCGCCATCTGGAAGGTATTAGCACAACAGTCTTGCCTCGCAGGCTCTTGGTTTTTCCTTTTTGAATCCCCAAGCGCACACGATCACGTAAGAGGGCGAGGGCTAAGGCCGAAGATTCAGCTCAGATGGAAAGTCAGATGCAAGCCGGGGGAGGAAAGTACTTCGACGCTGTTGCCCTGGAGAAGCTAAGCTCGGCCGGTCGGGGTCCTGAACGGCAGGCCAGCAGAGGCCTGCGCTTCAATAAGACAGTCTCAGCAGTGGGAGATGCCCTCGTCAGAGAAGCAGCTGCCGCAAAGCCTGAATCCGAAGGTGCCCAGACAGGCTTGCAAATCGGCTGGAAACTCCAAGGCAGGCCCTTCAAGCTATTCCTAGTTTCCCTCGAGATAAACCAGCATGTGAAACCCAGCTCACATAAGAGCATGAACAGGCCCAAAACATCCTGACCCTCACACGTTCAGCTGTGGGCTGACCCCACATGGTGAACGCTGCTGACCTGGCTTATCAGTTCCTTTCCAGAACATTCTTACCCCGTTTCCCTCCACAAAGCAAGCCTATGCTCAGAGAAGGGAAATCACTTCTAAGCTTGATCCAAGCAGAACTTCGTCTAGTTAATAAACTCGAGGAAAGGTCGTAAACACCACCGCAGAGCTATCCGAGGGCCTTTGATCTGGGTCATTAATTCCCACCAGGCGCCAGTGGCTCCATGGTTACAGAGACGGCAGAGAGGGG